AAAGAATGTACATCTGGGCACCAGGTGAGCAGGCGCCTATGCCTAAGTGCAGCCCAGGTTTGAGTTTGTGACCTGCTGCATATCTTCCTCTGTTCTCTCGCCCCCTTTCCCTGTCTACTCTTCCGTGTTTGACTGTCAAATAAAAGCAAAATGTCCTAAAATAAATCTAAAAAAATGTGGGCCCATTTCACTGATGTGCTTGGAAACACAGCCAAGAAGAACATTCATAGGCTTCCGTTGTGTTTAGCATTAGTGATAAAAGAAATTGTGATAATAGTTTCCAATACCAAGCTTTAAATCTTTATGATGTTGATAGTTTTTTCTTTGAATATGGTATCGGGATCATGTCTCTTAAACGTCTCTGATTATGAGCTTGCCCTCAAAACCAGGTGTCCAGGTCTGTGACTTTATCAAGCTTTTTAAAAAGCTCCCAGCTTTACCATGTTGACATATTATACCATATTGCAAAGTTTTCTGATGCCACTGCTAATGTTAGTTTACTCACAGGCAACTCAGATATTAACAGCCATAAAGCAGGATTGGACAGGACAGGCTGATATACAGAAAATGAAAGAAATTACTGTAGTAATCCCAGATCTGGTGGAGATCAGACCTCTCCACCAGAGAAGCCAATGCACTTAGCGAGCAGAAATATTAGGGGAACACGGTGACAATGTACTTATTTGGCAAATATGGTGCCATGAAAATGTATTTCTTAGCTTCTGATTTCTTAGTTGTTTTTTTGCATTTTGATCATCAAACAAATTTTGATATTAGATTAAGCCAACCAAGTAAATACAAAATGCTGTTTTCAAATAATTATGTCATTTATTAAGGGTGAAAAAAGCTATCTAAACCTGTCTAGCTCTTTGTAAAAAGGTGATTGCTGCCTTTGTTAAATGATGATTTGATTAACAACTTGGAAATCTGAATTCAATCTCACAAGCCACACCCAGCACTCATTACTGGCAGAGTTGTTGAATCAAGAAATCACTTAAATAGAACCCCTCTGAAGTGAAGCAGGATAAAAGAGCTCAAAAAGCAGCACATTGTGCCACAATCGAAAGACACAGCTGAGAAACAAAGTAAGGGACATTTTTCAGTCTAACAAATGTGACAAAGCCATTTCTAAGACTTTGGGACTCCAGCAAAACATGGTTAGACCCATTATCTACAAGACTTGGAACGGTGGGGAACCTTCCCAGGAGTGGCTGGCCTACCAGAGTTACTTCAAAAGAACACTGACAACCCATCCATGAAGTAGGAGTAGGAAATATGAGAAGGAAGTCACAAGAACCCAGAGCAACATCTAAAGAAATGT